CCCAGGCACGCAGTAGGGCTTTTCCCTTCTCTCACCGCGGTGGCCTCAGATGCTCGGTTCCAATACCTTTCTTCAGTATTTGCTGCCCACATCCCCTTCTGGCCTTGTATGTGGAAGTGGGGGGAGGGGTGCACACTCATGTATGAAGGCCAGAGGACAACTTCAGATGGATGTTCCTCGCGGGCTGCACACCTTATTTTGAGACAGGATTGCTTGCTGACCTGGAACCCAACAATTAGTCTAGGATAGCCAATCAGTGAGCCCTAGAGAGCTTTTTGTCTCTGCCTTCCCAGTACTGGGGTTACAGGCTTCTACATGTGCCGTCTTAGGGTTTTTGTTTTGTTTAGTTTGCTTTTTTCAAGATGGGGTTTCTCTGTGTAACAATCCTGGGTGTCCCGGGACTCTCTGGAACTCAATTTGTAGACCAAGCTGGCCTTGAACTCACAGAGATTCACTTGCCTCCCCTGCCCCCCATGGTGGGATTTAAGGTATGGGGCCACCATCATATGCAGCTTCTGGGGATTGAACTCAAGTCATTATTCTTGTATGACAACCATTTTAACAGCTGATCCGAGGAGATAGTCCGCAGCCTGACTCCGGCTTTTTGAATTTTAGGTTTTCTTTTCTTTCCCTTCGTATATGTGTGGTACTTGGGTTGACTCTAGGATCTTAGGCATGCTAGGAAATTTCTCTGTTGACCTACATTCTCAGCCCTGAACTATGGTTTTTCTAGCAGGTCTACACTCTGCCCTTTACCCGGTATTAGTATCTCCCCTAGGTTCAAATGACAAGCTCTATTCCCATCGAATCCTATAAAGCCCTGCCCAGTTGCCCAACAAAATTACAGTATTCATGCAGGAAGAAGAGCTAAAAACAGTGGCTCAAAAGCCAAATGTGTAGTCTGCACAATGTTTACCAATGCTGCAGTTAGATATGCCAAAATTAGAGAATTACAAAGAAAGATGTAGATTTCTTGCTTTTTGAAAAAAAATTAAAAATCTTTTTTTCATAAAAAATCTGATTTTTTGGGTTTCTACTGCTGTGAAAAGACACCATGACCACAGCAACCCTCTTTTTTGAGGGGAAGGTGCTGTTGAGGCAGGGTTCCTCTGAGTAGCTTTGGAGTCTGTCCTGCAGCTCACTCTGTAAACCAGGCTGGCTGGTCTTGAACTCACAGAGATGCACCTACCTCTGCCACCCAAGCGCTGGGATTAAAGGTGTACACCATCACTGCCCTGCAGCAACTCTCTTTATTTTTTATTTATTTATTTACTTATTTATTTATTTATTTATTTATTTATTTTGAGACAGAGTTTCTCCATAGGTTTGTAGACTGTCCTGAAACTCTCTTTGAAGATTAGGCTGCCCTGGAACTCACAGAGATCCTCCTGCCTCTGCTTCTGCCTCTGCTTCCCGAGTGCTGGGATTAAAGGCATGCACCACCACTGCCGGGCCTGCAGCAACTCTTATAAAGGAAAACATTTAATTGGGTGGCTTATAGTTTCAGAAGTTTAGTCCATTGTCATGGTGGAATATGGCAGTGTGCAGGCAGACATGGTGCCTGAGAAGGAACTGAGAGCTCCATATTCTAAACAGCACCTATTCTAAAAAGGCCACACCTTCTAATAGTGCTACTCCCGTGGCAGTCATTTTCTTTCTAACTACCACATAAGCTCTAGCAAGATTCATCCCATAACTATACGTGATAGTGTGTTTGTCAGCAATGGGCCAGAGATAGGAAGCTGCTGTCTTTCCTAGATGAGGCTTATTACCCAACCTGCCAGTGTCCGCCAGCCCACAAGGCAGGCACTCAGGGAGATTGCCTTGTGTCTTGCAGACATCTGAATTTGCAGCTCCTGAGACAATAGAAGGACTCTGGACATGCTTATAAAGAAAATGCCAATCCTGCCCTGGCTATATACCTCAACTTGCCTTTCAGCACCCAGTCCTGTCTTTCAGCCTCACCTTATCCCTGTGGCCCCAGGAAAGGTAATCTAGCAGTGTGTGGCTTAATATGGCATCCTTACTATTTATTTCTTTATATTTTGTCTCTCCTTTTTTGGAAACTGCCCCATACAGCTCAAGCTGGTCTTGAACTGGTTGTACAACCAAGGATGGTCTTAAATATTTAACCCTCTACGCTACCTCCTGAGTACAGGGATTGCAGGTGCTCCCAACCATTCCCAGTTCATATGATGCTGAGACTCAAACTCAAGGCTTTTTGCATATTAAGCAAACACCCTACCAGCTGAGTCACTTGTCCAGCCCCCCCATCCTTAGATGAAGAAGAGTCTAGTAAATTGTATTCAACTAGGAACATCTATCTAGAGTATTCTGTGTGCCATGAGATACATTCTTAGTGGGCCACAAGACTTCTGTCACTAGTCTACTTCTTTGTAAGACAGGCCTTGGGCACATTCTTTTTGGCAAAGCTTGAAAGACAGAATTTTTTTTTCATACCACAAATCAGTAATAGTGAAACACACCAGCTAGTGAGCCCTTAGTGTTGAAAACAACTCATTAAATTTATTGGTTCTTTGATGTCCAATTCATGGCAGACTCTCCTCATTATTTTGCCAAAGGAAGTCAAGGTCATCAAGTTGTGTTTTTTAATGGGGATTGATACACTTTTATGAAAAGAACTTGGTGGAATTTCTAGAGAACATTCATCTCTCTTCCCCCTAAGTGCAGTAACCTTGCCATGCCCTCTTGCAGCTACTCAAACCAGTAGAGTTTGTGGTTTTTCTCATGCATTGAACAACCCATCTGACAAAGTATTCTGACTTTTTCACCTAAATGTCAGAAACTTTTCGTTATCCAAGAGAAGAAAACATCATTATCAAAAGCCTTTCTCATCTCGATTCTATGGAAACCACTGACCATATTAGGGAAAATAACAGGCAGGCAAAGTTTAGATGGCAGCATTCATCTTTTGTGTGTGATTTAAAAAAATAAAAAAGTTCGCCTTCGACTTGGGAAGTCACTACACGCTTCATTGGCAGAAATGCTCTTTCTGCTTGAAAGCGTGGGGACTTCAGATAGGCCTCCCCTCACTAGGATGAGTAAAAACAATATCATTTTCCCTGATAGCTGCTGAATTGAAGGGAAGGGTTATTTATTTAAACTTCTGAAGCATGAAGCCAAATGCAGCCAGTGTGCTGTGTCTGTCTGAGACGCCGTAAGTCAGAGATAAGAGTTTATGAAGCGTTAGGTCAGCCGCGCCGTTCCCAGATTCTCAGGGAAAGCACACTGCAGCCTGCAGTCCAGTGCCTGCCTCCGGACTGAAGAAACCAGCCATGCACCTCCTGCCTCCAGATCTCACACACACACACACACACACACACACACACACACACACACACACACCTTCCAATCAATTCCACGACTGAAGAATGATAAACAGCTCTTTTATTACCTGCTAACAGCCATTGTCATTACTAAGAACAGGGACTAGGAAAGTCTTTGTTCCAAAGAACACCTGGGGACTGGTAAATCCCATCCCTTCAGCACCTGATGGCACCTGGGAGTTAGGAACTGAGCTCCCGAGCCTCTCTCCAGACTCACCCCACCCGTGTTTTGATCTGCATTTCCATGGCAGCATATGGCCCAGAGCAGCCTTTCATATGTCCACACAAATCATCAGCCCAAAAATATTTACCATTGGCTCATTTTTTATAAGTTTTTTATTATTGAGTTTTATGATTAATATTTTAGCTGTAGCAAATTTAAAGGGATCTCTGATCATTTGGAGCTGCACATAGAAATAATTATGGGTTAAATGATAAAATGTCTGGGATTCTGTCCAAACAATGAGTCTGGATTGGAATGAAGATGGATACAACATTGACTACCACTTCATAGTTGTTTAATTCAGATACTTTGTACATGGAAGTTCACCGTACTATTTTCATCCCTATGTACATTTGAATTTTTTGCCTTTGGTTTTGAAGTCAAATCTTGGTTTTGCTCTTGACTTAAAGTAACAGCAACCATAAAGCAATCGTAATAGCAATCATACCAAGCAAAACCATTTGGGGCATTATAAGTTCTCTGCAGCCCAATGTCCACAGCACAGAATTCCCCATGGGCTGCAGGGAATGTAAGATTTGAAATTTAAGTACCTGGGGTACTACTTATCAATCCCAGGCACCTTACATTCTACATGAGTTTAGTTGAACGTCTCAATGTGTTTCCTAATATCCTAGGGATAGACACAAGATTTAAACACACTATAAATCCTACCAAGTTCATAGATGCTTATTATTACCTGTTCTCAAATATCTTGATAATACTTGAGACCATAAACCTTGTATCAGTTAAACGCTGCCATACACTGGCATTGGAGTGACATTTAAAAGCAAAATTCAGCACATCTCCTATGACAGATTTTTATCAGAAAGACATAGAAAAGTGCTTAGATAGGATATGCTCCAGCCGGGAGGTGGTGGCTCATGCCTTTAATCCCAGCACTAGGGAGGCAGAGGCAGGCTGACCACTGTGAGTTCCCGAGACCAGCCTGGTCTACAAAAGTTAGTTCCAGGACAGCCTCCAAAGCCACAGAGAAACCCTGTCTTTAAAAAAAAATAGGATATGCTCCTTAAACTGTAAAGACTTTCCAAGTAATTCCTTAAAGAGGAATTCTACAGAGTCAGCAAATGGCTTAGTGGGTAAGGGCAGTTGCCACCAGGCCTGATGACCTGAGTTTAATCCCTGGAACCCGCAAGGTAAAAGGGGAGAACCAACTCCCATAAATTATCCTCTGACCTCCATACAGGTGCTGTGTATGTGCCAGGAGCACGTGTGTGTGTGTGTGTGTGTGTGTGTGTGTGTGTGTGTGTGTGTGTGCATGCAAGTGAAGAAGCCAAGCATGGTGGTACATGCCTTTAATTAGAAAGCAGAGGCAAGCATATCTCTGTGAGTTCCAGGCCAGCCAAGCCTACACAATAACACCTTGTCTCAAAAAACAAAAAGCAAAAACAAAATAAAAAAAACCTGTAGAATAATTGACATTAATTGTATTTATTTCCTTTGACTTAAAATTTTTACTGTCAATATGCATAAGGAGTAAGCACAGAGGACAAATCTTGCAAACAAATTCAAAAAGGCTTTCAGACAACACAAGCCTTATAACCTTAACACATCTTTACTTCAAAATTCTTCTCTCCAAAAAGTTGTCATGGTGATGAATGTGGGGTGCTGAGGGACATTTGGAAAGCATAAGTAATGAGTAGCTCAAGATGCAGGAAGGACTTTGGGCAATGATTTTCTTCTTTGTAGAGCTTAGACTTCCCAATTTGCTCCAATGCATGTGCTACAGTGAGCAATAGAGAGAATGCCATTGAAAGTTGTCACTCATCTGATTTCTCCCCTCGATGCCATTGCCCACCTGCTCCTGTCCCATCTCTTCCCTCGATACTCCTCTGCCTACACCTAACAATGCCCTCCTCCTGCCCCTCACCCATCCCTAATTGCTCAACTCTCAGGTTTAGTGTTAGTGCACCCTGTCCCACATACCCAGCTCTATTTCCCTTCACATGCTCATAACCCAGTCCTAAACTTCAGAGGGAAAGTGGCTGGGTTTTTTGTTAGGTCTGAAGTCTCTGAGGAAAATTTAAAAATGGACCCAAATCCAAAGGTGTCCATGCGTGTGTTTCCTTTCTAGGAATCACTGCTATTCACTCATGGGAGTCCTAGTTGATGCTAACAAGTGCATTTTGCAGCATCGTTTACCCAGTGGGATCCAGCTTTGAAGGCATCAGTGCTTGGATTAGGACCCAGCTCTGCTTGATGCCAAAGCCCATCTCTTTCAGTCATACCACACCCTTGGCAGAGTTAGTCACTGTCATGTTCACTGTCCTCTCACGGCACACACTGGTACGCCAGCTTTGGAATGAAAACATGTTTTCTAGCCAGGTCAAATCACTCCCACAAGCCCCAGAATTCTGTGCATTTTATACTCTGTTGGAGTCTCTTATTGTTAAATCATGTCTCTTTGAATCAATTGTTCTAGACACAATGAAGTGATGGCAGGTGCTGAGTACCTTATAAGCACTCATGTTAAGAACTTCCTGTCTGGCCTGGGATGCCTTGGTTAGTAAAGCACTTACCTAGCAAGCCTGATGACCTCAGTTCATAGTCCCAGTCTGCAAGCTCAGCAATCTCCTTCAGGAGAGGGAAAGCTGAGACAGGAAAATCACCAAGAGTTTTCGGGAAGCTAGCCTGGCATACACAGCAGTGTTGTAGAATATTATTTTAAGGTAGGTTACTTTTGTTTCTGCTCAGGAACATTTGTTTAATGATGCGAAGATGTGTTTGATTAAATAAAATCCACCTGTGGTCAGGAGGCTGGGTCAGCACCCAGCTGACAGGAAGTTGTAGGGAGGAGCCAGGCAGAGAAGGGCTTATAAGGAAGGAGGACTGTGCCCTAACACAAGGACTTATTGGAAACGAGAGGAGGTGAGCTAGGTGAGCTGCTTGCCATTCAGCCTTTCTGGGAAGCAAGATTCTACCTCAACCTTTGAATCTTGAGTTCTTTTGGATTTTCAAGACAGAGTTTCTCTGTAGCTTTGGAGCCTGCCCTGGAACTTGCTCTGTAGACCAGGCTAGACTTGAACTCATATAGATTCACCTGCCTTTGACTCCCAAGTTCTGGGACTAAAGGCTTGTGCTACCACTGCTGGGAAAATCTTGAGTTCTTTAAGTGGACAGCGATTTAAGTAAGTTTTCTTAGTAGCTTTGAAAGAGTCGGTGCCTGAGGGAACAGCTGTTGGTAGCTTCAGCGTGTTGGTTGCTCAGTAGGATAGCTGTAGCTTAAAATGCAGCAACAATTAAAGAAGAACACAGCAGTTAGCAGGAAAGGAAACTGTTTTTCAAACAGAATAGGAGGCGTGGATCTATGTAGAGTGTAGTTTTCCTTGCCAGCCGCTTTGGTCGGTGTCCCCCCCCCCCACACACACACCAGCTGCCTGGGCCCTGCCACAGTTGCAGTCCCCAAATAATACACAAGACACTATATTAATTATAAGCTGTTGGCCATTTGCTTGGTTTCTTATTGGCTAGGTCTGACTTGATTATTAACCAATAATTACTCATATATATTTTATAAGAATTTATCTTTGCTAGGACGCACTCCTGCCTCTTTCGTTATTCCTGGGAGTCACATGGCGACTGCTCAGTTCACTACACTTCCCAGAATCCTCCAAGACTCCTAGTCCCATCTATTTTGCTGCCCTATTGGCTAACAGTGCTTTATTCAACAACCAATAAGACAGATTTAAGGTCATCCTCTGACTGCCACATGTGTGACATAGTGTACACACACACCTACATTCAACATACACATGAGCATACATGTAGTTGCAAAAACAAATTCAGTTGAACACTTGCTTTATCAAGCATTATAATAAGTTATACTTCCTTATAAAAACACAAAGTAAAAGGATAATTAGCTAAACATGAAAAATATATAATGAATTAAATGTTTTCAAAGGCTCCCAAAATATGGCTTATTAAGCTACTTATTATGTCATCCTCTCAATATTTTTCAACACTAAGGTTCCTACCTCTTTTACAGAAATGTACATCTTATCATCATAATCTACAAAGAAATATACAAACAGGCATATATAATTTACACCATCTAGGGCCCAGGAAGATGGCTCAGCAGTTAAGAGCACACACTGCTCTTGCAGATGATGCATTTGGTTCTCAGCAGTCATGTCTAAAGGTTCACAACAGCCTGTAACTCCAGTCCCAGGGGATCCAAAACCCTCTTATGACCTCCTCAGGCAATTATTCACATGCACATACCCACACATAGACACACAAGCTACACACAACTCAACATAAAATAAAAACTTCAAAACTCTGTTTATGAAAGGACTTGAGATAGCAAGAGAGGAAATGATATTATTTAAACTAAGTGAAAGAAATTTAAACGTGTATGCAAGAAAGAGCAAAAGAAAATATTCATTCTACCTAGGCTACATTACCTAAGACTCAACTCAGGAAAAACACTTGGCAGACTGACCCAAGGTACAAGATACAGTAAGACTTACTGCTTTTTGTTACCAAGAAAGTCATGCAAATTACTTTTGGGAGGATGCCTTGCACAATGCAACTAACTCTGGAATTAATTTCTCTACTTTGCTTTTCCTCTCTCCTCTTCCAGAGCAATGGGGGTGTTATTTGGCCAATTGAATTATTATGATGGATTAAATATTTTTTTTCTTTCTAGTTATGGGGGAGGGTGCAGGTGTCTGAGAGGCCAAAGACATTAAATCCCTGGAGCTGGAGTTACAGGTGGTCATAAGTTGCCTGTCAGGAATGTTGGGAGCCGAACTCAGGTCCTCTGGAAGAGCACTACCTGCTCCTAACCATTGAGCCAGCTCTCCAGCCAGCCTTTATTCTCTTATAGGGACTCTCAACTGCTCCTGTCTCTACTCTTTCTTAAATCTTACTTTTGTATTATATTTTCACAACCTGACTTTTTCCTGGGTTGAAGCTCTTTTTTATATTTTTATCTTTATATTGGGGTGCAGGTTGAGACAGGGTCTCAATGTATAGCTCTGGCTGTCCTGGAACTCACTATGTAGAACAGGCTGGCATTGAACTCACAGAGACCTACTTGCTTCTGCCTCTGGAGAGCTAGGATCAAAAGCGTGGGCCACCACACCCAGCAGCTCATTTTTGTTACTTGATCAAATGATGTCCCTCCAGTTAGACCACAGCTGTCCATGGGCCGCTTCCCTCTATACTCCATAAGAACCCGTTAGCTCTTCATGTTGTAGAGTGCCAAGATAGGGATTCAATAACTTAAAGGATTATTTGGTTTTCTTTTCAGAGAGAGACAGGGCAGTGCCTCTCCTCTGCTTCTCTCCTTGACTCTCCAGACTCCTCTAAAACCACATTCCTACACACAGCCCAGCTGAAATAACAACACGGCTGGCTTGCACTTTTATAGAACCATATACATTTGGAAGTGTTTTCACATCTCTTATCTCATTTCTTCCTCACCAGAATCCTATGAGGTAAGGAGAGTAGATACACTTGGTCTTACTTGATAGATGGTGAAACAGAGGAAGAGCGAGGTTAAGTGACTTGCCCAGTCTCTCACCACTCCACTACATCTGCCAGAGCTATCTTCCTCAAAATAAATATAAACATGTCATTCCCCTGCATAAAATCATCAACAGGACTCCGGCTGTCTGCGGGGTAAAGTGCAAACTCCTTAGCAGGGCATGGTCCCTTCACATCCTGGTCCTGTGCTCCTCGGCAGCTTCGTCTTCTGCTCCTTCACTCCCCCAGATCCCCGGAACCCCGCCAGTCCCCAGCCTCATCTGCTCTCAAGAGGGCAGGCCTCCAGACACATGGCTTCCTCCGCCTGGAATGTCCTTTGGATTTGAGATCCTTGCTGTTGCCTCCAAGCTAAGCAGATCTAAAGCCCCTGTCCTCCTCAGGCACCTGCACACACATGAACAACCTTTCTTCTTCTTCTTCTTCTTCTTCTTCTTCTTCTTCTTCTTCTTCTTCTTCTTCTTCTTCTTCTTCTTCTTCTTCTTCTTCCTCCTCCTCCTCCTCCTCCTCCTCCTTCTTCTTCCTCCTCCTCCTCCTCCTCCTCTTCCTCTTCCTCCTCCGAGGCAGGGTTTCTCTGTCGATTTGGAGGCTGTCCTGGAACTAGCTCTTGTAGACCAGGTTGGTCTCGCAGAACTCACAAAGATTCTCCTACCTCTGCCTCCTGAGTGCTGGGATTAAAAAGGCATGAGCCACCACCGCCTGGCAGCACAACACTTTCTTGTAAGAACATCTGTCTTCACAGAGGTCAAATAAAAACCCTGTCACCTCCCAGCTGGCTCTCCATGTGCCGGGTAAGCCACTCACTCTTCACCCATCTTCTAGAGTGTCTCCCTGTTACCTAGGCTTGCCTCACACACACACACTTCTACAGCCTCAGCCTCCCAAGGGCTGGGATTACAGGTGTACACCGCCATGCCAGTGAGTCAGCCAGCCACTTACTAGACTCACTAGCTTTATTTATATTGATGTTCCCTCCTTATCCCGCTCCAGTTTTTTTTTTTCTTTTTCCCTTCTTATTGCCTTGGAACATGTCATATCATCTGCAGATGGCATTAGTCTTTGAGTCTGCCTCTGCTAGAGTGGGAGACTCATAAGGGCAGGGACTTTGGCTAGGTTTGCATATTGAACAGGGTCTGGCATGTAAATGTGAAGAGGCCTCCAAAGCATTCATTAGTGGGTGGCATTGTGATTCGGAGGCAGAGCCCTTGGCCAGCAAGTGACTGGTCCTGGGTTAAAGTTGGACTTCAGACAAACTGACTGACTAAGGCATTTGTTTTAGTTACAGTTTCTATTACCATGACCAAAAGTAACTGGTCGAATGCTGTCTTAGTCGGTGTTCTATTGCTGTAAAGAGATGCCATGACCATGGCAACCCTTATAAAGGAAAACATAAGGGCTGGCGTACAGTTCGGAAGTTTAGTCCATTGTCATCATGAAGGGAAACATGGTGGCATGCAGGCACACATGGTGTTGGAGAACAGCTGATAGTTCTATATCTGAAGTCACAGGAGCGGGGGAGGGAGAGAGACACTGGGACTGGCTTGAGCATTTGAAACACCAAAGCCCACCCCCAGTGACACACACTTCCTTCAACAAGAACACACCTCTTAATCCCTGGCAAGTAGTACCTCTCCCTCATGACCAAGCAATCAAACCATGCGCCCATGGAGGCCATTCTTATTCAAACCACCAATGTTTACTTCACGGGTAGCAGTTCATCACTGAAGGAAGTCAGGCCAGGACCTCAAACAGTGTGAGGACCTGGAGGCAGGAGCTGCTGCAGAGACCACGGAGGGTGATGCTTACTGGCTTGTGCCTCATGGCTTGCTCTGCCTGCCATCTTGTACACCTTGTACATCTGCAGCACCACCAGGCCAGGGGTGTCGTCATTCACAATGAGCTGCCCAAGCATCAGTTGCCAACTAAGAAAATACCCCCACAGGCTTGCCGACAATCTAATCTTACCGAGACATTTTCTCGATTAAGGTGCCCTCCTCTCAGATGACTCTAGCTCATGCCAAGTGACACAAAACAGGCAGGGTGGCATCAACTAAGCAACTTCTGTTCTAGAGTTATGGCTATCCACATAAAACACAGTCTCTATGGCATGGACAGGGGAGAATGGATGGAACTATCACGATACAGAGTAGTTAAGCATAGTGATGAAGCTAGAGGCGTGCACTGTGTGAG